CGTAATCTTGTTTTTTCGTATATAAATATAAAAAAACAATATAAGACAATATCCTAGCTCTTCCAAGCTTTATAATGGGAGTCAATAGGCCTAAGATTTTGAAGCTCAAAAAAAAAAAAAAAAAAATCTATCGCATCTATCCATGATAAAAGTAACCCATATGGCTTGAGTGTTAATAAAGACCTTCTGAAGCGAAGTGATGCGTTTTTGTAACTTTATAAACTGTAATCACTAGTAGGGCTGCAACAAACGATTATTTTGATAATCGATTAATCTAACAATTATTAGAACGATTAATCGACTAATCATCAATTATTTTGCCAGCTAATCATTAAGTTTGGAATGATTATTCAGCTTTTTCAATTAGTTAAAACATTGAGTTATACATATTCTTACTATAATATAAAAAAAAAAAAATCAGTTCAGCTTTTGAAATAGTGGTTTTAATGAACTTAGAGCCAACTAAACAGGTCATTAACTCAAATCACACACAAATGCTCTCTAAGCATTGTTTAATAAGCCCACTGCTTTTCATAGAACTGAAACAGAAAAAGGGTCATTACTTCAGGACACAAAAAGGTTAAAATATTAATCTGCAAATAGATATAAAATTACAATAGTTTTTTTTACATGAGAATTGAGCTGACAGAGATGTTCTCCTTCACCTTTTAATTTACAGAATGAAAAAAGGAAAAGTAACTGCCATGATATTATTCCTAACATCTCCTTCTGTAAGTCTTCATGATTATGGAACAAAATACAGGCAAGTAATAAGACTATAATACCTAAGGCTAATAGTGTTACAATAATAAAAACAGCCCTGACTCCTAAGCTCAATCAAGCTTTATTCTATGCAAAATAAATCATCACATTACTGTAATTATATTATTATTGATGATATAATTGTATTGCATGATCTAATAAAGCGATACATTACCACTACTACAGTTAGTTAGCTCCAGCTGGAGAACACTCAGGTCTCACTGGCTCCTCTTTTGCCGGGATGTTTCCTCTTTAAGTGCTCCAACATGCATGTTGTGCTCCCGTGAAAAGCAAGTTCTGCCTTGCATGTGTTGCACGTGACAGCATTGTTGGTTTGAAGTTTTGTAAAACTTTGCCAAACCTTGCTAGTTCGGATTCGTTTGCACTCCGTCATAATTTGCGCTGTTTTTTCTTTTACTGCACTTGCATTTATAAATTGCTGCATTACACTCTAGCGCCACAGCGCCGTAGCGGTCAAATTGCGATTTTGCAGGCCCTTACATTAGGTCACGTGAGATCAAATGACTACTCGACAACAAAGATATTTGTCGACAATTTTTTATTGTCGACGTTGTCGACAATGTCGACTAATCGTTGCAGCCCTAATCACTAGCTTCTGCACGTTCACGAGAGAGTCGAGTTCCGGCGTGTGATATAGGATGTAGGAGTAGTGTGTAAGCTTAAGTGCGAGTAGACGGCTCTCGCGGTTCAAACAAATAGTGCTGGGCAACAAACTCAAGCTCCTCCGACATTTCACTTTTAAATGTGACTGGTGTTTTGCTTTGCTCTATCCTCTTTGCTTCCGAGTTCAGCGTCAGGTCCGAGTTCACTCTTCAGCCAGAACTCAACTCAAGTACTGAAGTCAGTGATTCTAGTTTATAAAGTTATAAATATAGGTATTTGTCTAACAAAAATGCATCATTTGCTTCAGAAAAGGCCTTCATTAACCCCCCTGGAACCGTATGGATAACTTGAAATGATCGAAGGATGCGTTTTTTGTAACTTCAAAATCTCAGTTACCATTAACTCCCATTATAAAGCTTGGATGAGCCAGGGAATACTCAGATTGTGTTTGGCTGAAAGAAGAAAGTCATATACAGCTAGGATGGCTAGACTCGAGGGTGAGTAAATTATGGGATCATTTTCATTTTTGGGGGACATTTAGGACTTCCATTAATTCCATAATTACCTCTATTGTCTACAAAGTGTGGTGAACGTTTATGGTAAAAAAAAAAAAAAATACTTTAATGCCATTTCTACTTAAACTTGTATGTCATGTATTTAAATATATTTGTTATTACACATTTGTGCGGATGAAACTGTAACTTAGCACATTTAAAGTATAAATAACTTTAAATGTAATGTGCAAATAATACACTACAGTTACAATTTTTCTCTAAACCATGACAAAAGATTATTAAAAGAATATTATAAAAAAAATACACCACTTTAAAGTAAAAGATTTGGCAAAAAACAGTCATGAAAGTGTACTCTGTTTAAGTACACTTAAATTGACTTTTATTTGATTAATATATTGTCTGCAATTATGGTTTTTAAAAATATATCGTTTGATTACACTTGACTACACTTAATTTGATTATCCACTTTACTGACTTTCTATTAAGTGACTTTTCAACATGTCAACTTGACTGTTAGCATACTGTTCGATTTTAGGGTTTGGAATAGTAGAATAAGTTGACAGTTTGCAAAGTTACACTCTAAAAATGCTGGGTTGTTTTAACCCATCTTTGGGTCAAATATGGACAAACCCAGCCATTGGGTTAAAATTTATTATTACATTTTTAACCCAACGTTTGAGTTTATCCATATTTCACCCAAAGTTGGGTTAAAACAACCCAGCATTTTTAGAGTGTAGTAAAATGGACTATCCAAAAAAAGTGTTTTCCACATATACAGTACGTTTAATATTTACACTACAAATGTACATTCAATACAATTAAGTGAACTTCTTTTTTTCACTATGGATGATTGGAGTCTTCATGATGTGAGTGCACATGTCTTTAAACTCATTGTAAAACTTTTAAAGAGGAAAAAGCTACCAAGTACACATTTAAATTAAAATCATTAAAATCAGTGATGAACACATTGTATTTTCATTTATGCAATGGATTTAAGCTTAAACCATCATAAATGTAGGCCTATTTCTCACATTCATTCTGAGCCCACATAACGAATATAATATATTTATTTAATAGACTTTTTTAATTTCATAATTTTGAGCATTTTTGTCAGCTCAAACATTCTTTTGCCCCAGATACATACAATTACACACAATTGTATATACAGAGTTTGAAAGGTAGACTGATGTGCTTGCCTAAAATGGATTTAAAATCAATAACTATTCATCTGACATTTCATTTCTGGTTTCCCTTTGTAATCTCACTTAAATGTTACATCTATCTCTACCACTGTACCTGATCAAAAACCTGAACAAAAACATTTGTACCTAAAATCCTGTTCTCATATTTGTCCTGTTAACCCAACATCAAAACTCCATCCTTTGATATTATAGTGCTAATGTTGCAACAACTGTCCAATACTTGCTTGAAAGGCTTTTTGAGGAAAAGAGTGAAAGTGTCTGTGTCGACTTTCGAGGAAGTTGTCTGTATCGAATCAGTGCAAACAGGAGAAATTCAAAAACAACATTTTTGGCGAGTATCACATTAAGCATAGAAAGTGTTGTTAAACAACTACTGTAGGTGATTGCGTTCCCTCTCGGCACACTATGTCAAAAGTCAAAAATACATTCTAGAATATGAGGTTCATTGCTTGCTTATGTTGGAGGCCTATAATAATAATAATAATAATAATAAAAGAGATTTAAAAAAAAAAATATACAAACAGAATATTGTAATGGTTGGAGGAGTGTGAAGCTTTTTCCCCTCTTTTTTTTCTGAATTTTAAAAATAAACTAAAAAAAAAAAATAGCAGCATTGAACATTAGCCAAAGTCCAAAAAAACAAAACAAAAAAAAAAACGTTGGGATGGATGGTATATTGATTATTGGATGGTACTGGAATTATTTTCAGTGGCGTAACTTTGCTTTAAAAAGTGGGTGGGGATGGGGGACTAATACAATGCTAAATCATAAATCAGATGCACACCTGATACCGATGTCCAGCAATCAAATTAAATAGTACATTTTGTTTAATTTGTCGTTTAATGAGATCTAAAACGTCACGTGTTGGTGGCAAGAATTTTCACGTGAACAAATACATAATTATATGCATGCACTTTAATGGTCCAGTGGCAGAACTTTTGCCAATCGTGTCAAAGGTACTGGGTTCTAATCTGCATTCGTAGTATAGTTTTTTTTTCCCTCATTAAAACGATTATGTTTATCGGTGGTTGTATATCAATCAGGGACACGTTTGTGTGCATTTTACTTTGTGGTTTCACCAGAACGAATAGAGTCTCCGCAACGGATTAAAATGCACGTCCTTGCGAAGACTGCGCGGCAGCGCGAGCCTCATGAAGACACTATCCGCACCACTGGTCACAGTCAACGAGCACTTTGATCACATGGCTTCAAAAACAACTAATTTCAGCACTAGATTATGTAACAAATGAATGAAATGAATGCTCTGCTAGTTAAGATGTTTTATTTATTTGTATTATTTACATCCATGCTGCGAGATGTTTCAAAAGTGGTGGGGACTATATCGACCCTGGTTAAAAGTGGTGGGGACATGTCCCACAAATTACGCCTAGGTATATATTTGAAGAGTTCAGATGCAAAAGCCTCTAAGTGCCAATTGAAATGTTCATCTTGAATGATCATTTTTATCAAGCTTGTATATTTAAGTTCAGTGATTTCACTTACATGGCAATGATAATTACCTATTAATTGTTATTTAAGTGAAATTACTGAACTTAAATATACAAGTTTGATAAAAATCATCATTAAAGAAGAAAATTTCAAATGGCACTTTTGCATCTGAACTCTTCATTTATTTATTTATTGGTATCCCACACTATTATATATAATTGTGTATACTTGATTACCTTTGTCGTCATTTAACAATCACTTAAAGTTAATCTTTACATACAATCTTTGAATTTGTCAACACCACAGTTTAGTCTTTAGAGAATCTCAAAATATAGATTTTTCATATTGTATATTACAAATTCACAATTAATTTGAGTTTTTACTCATTTAGACTAAATAGTGTAGAAATCTGGTTTATTAGTATCAACCAGGATTTTAATATCAAGTGAAGAATTGGCCTTTCTCTACTTTTTTTTACAACAGCAAACATATTTGAAAAATCCCATGAAAATTGGCGAAGCCGACTATACGCTCTCTATTCTAGGGAGAGTTCAGGTTTGCTTGCAACATTAGATCAGGGAATATTTTAGCTTATATTGAGGTTGCTGGACTGGGAAAAATCAGTGGAAAACACAGAAATATTAACGTGGCAGGTATTCTACACATTCACAGATAAAATGTGGGGGTTAAAATAAATAATAATAATTTAGTATTGATATTGTACAAAATCTTAACTTTTTATATTTTAAAAAACACACTGTGCTTGGAAAGTCTATAAAGTCTAGAGTTTTTGTGTCACATGAATTTGAAGAAGTCCATACTCAGAACATAGCACTGAAAAAACATGTTGGAGGACCTACTGGTCTGATTCATTTTTTTTTTTGCCAAACGAACTAGAACAAACCGGGCTGAAGTGGATTGCTCCAGTACTTAATAGAACGTTAGCAGTATCGGATCACTCCATGTTACACTCCTTCATGAACAGTACCAGTTCAGTCGTTCTTTCCATAGACGAGCTGTTTGTGAGAAAGTTCCCATAGTGCTTGCCTCTCTATGGCTATATCTTTGCACTCTTCTGTCTTTCAGTTTTGGAGCAGGCTCCCCTGATGGCTTTCATGGATGTTTTTGCTGGGCCCTTGTGGTCTCTGCTGGGAAAGTCCCGCCAACTGTGATGTAAGTCAGTCCTTTTCCCTGTTTCTTCTTCCTCATCGTCCTTTCATTTCAGCCATGCTAGAGACTCTCAGCCATCCTGCTCCTATAGGTTACAGCTGGAGGAAATAAATAATAAGTGTTAAAGCTGAAGTACGTCATTTTTTTATTTAATATATTTTGTAACTTTTGAAATACTTGTTTTACTCCAACTGAATATAGAAACAAGTATAAGAACAATTTGTAGGGGCTATAATCAAACATCGGTCCCTATTTTAATGATCTAAGCACATAGTCTAAAGCGCACAGCGCAAGTGCAAGGCGTGTTTGAATCCTCTTGCTAGTGTAACGATGGGGAAAATGGTCTTCATGCCCGCCACATGGCCTTAAAAGGGTTGTCCCTATTCTCTTAATGAGTAATGGGCGTTTTTTGGGTGTAACATGCAAAAAAAAAAATCCGCGTGTCCTTTCCCACTCCCTTTAAAACCCAGTTGCTCTCACGCCATGACAGATTCACTATTTACACTAAAACTGAACGTTTTCTCCAGAGAGAAAACATATATTTGCTCGTGCGTGAGGTTAAAGCGCAAGCAGACCATCTATGGGACAAGCGGGATTCCAACCTATCTTTATGTACGCAATAATAATCACATTAATTTACATTGTAATCCTTTTATTTTTAGAGTGTACGCGCCCACCTATAGGCACCCTTTAAATAAGAAAAATAAATAAATACTGCGCCATTGACCTTAAACCAGGTTTTTGTTGGTCAATGGCACAGTCTATTTAAGTTGCCTCAAAATATCAATGCGCCTGAACACTCTTTGTTTTCAGACCAGCACGCCCATCGGTGCACAAATGGGCGCACATGCATTTGCTATTTAAACAAGGTGGCGCAGGACATGAAAAAGCCCTGTGTCGAGCTGAAACTAGCAAAAAGCACTTGTGCCTGGTGCCACATTGAGCCTAGTGTATGATAGGGCCCATTGTCTGATACAGTAGTGTTAGATTAACCAAGATTGGAGTGTTAGCAATCCTGTTTGTTTCTGACCACTGACAGGGAAGTGGTCTGTTTGGGGAAAAAGTCATTTTTTGGTGATACAGAAATGACACGTCACCTCTAAGGGTTACAAAAGTTGTACAAAACAACATGTTTCGAAATTCAAAAGAAGCAGTCTGATATTACATTGATTTAAGTGGTCAAAGCTGCTGTGTCCACACTTTTAAAGTCAGTATGAAAGGCAACATTGGCAAAGACACTGGCTGCGTGTCTACATGCAAATCTTATTCTGACAGTCACTGGCTTGTAAAAGGCATTAACTTGTCAAATGCTTTTTGGATGGACTGGTACCCCCTTCCCCTGTTGCATGCCAGTTCCCAAATTCAGGGTTTCTTAGCTTTATAAATCTGTTGTATATGGCAGATTCCTTCAACTCAAACTGATGGGACAGATAATAAATCTAAACCGCGTTGGCACCCTAATTATCAGTCACTGATAATTCAATTCAGTCCCAAAACGACCATTAAGGGTTAGAAAGATTTTATTACTTTTTGGAAAGAAAATACTCTTATGTAGCAACAATTTCTCAAAAGTGAAAATGTATCAAGGGTTCCATAAAAATATTAAGCAGCACAACTGTTTTCAATAGTTGATTCTTACACTGAAAATCAGCATATTATATGATTTCTGATGGATCATATGACACTGAAGACTGGAGTAATGATGCTAAAAATTAAGCATTGCTTTCACAGCAATACATTACAGTTATGATAATACCCCCAACCTCTCAATAATTTTATCTCTTAAAACTCATCTTCGATCACCAAAATCGACATTTTTTTCTTTATGCCTTAAAATAGCTTGAATGTAACTCTACCCTTGTAGCGGTGTAACGATACCCTCATGTCACAATTCAATACTGAACTCACGATACAATATTATTACAATCCTCTAAAAAGACATATGGTAAAAGGTTAATAAATATGTACTGTTGATTAAAATGCTGAATTTGGTGTTACATTGTGGGTGTAAATGAATAGACTTGAACTCTGTCACTGACTAGATATATTTAAAATAAACTTTTTACTGATAACATAAGACATTTGGCATTATCAGGCCCCACAAATAATCCCCCATTGCATTATTATACATTATATTCACCATTATATATAGTAGTTTATTGTAGTACTGACACCCTTGCCTAATTTAGTATGCGGTTCTATGAATATGCAGACTACATCCAAGGTACTGTAGTTACAATAGAGTATGTCACGTCAGAAACACCAGCGATTTTAAACAGTGTTTTTGAGACTGTCTTTGCTTCACTTTGTCTTAAAGCATATTAAAAACACCACATATGTATATAAACAACATTAAATGCTTGATTTTCACCTCAGGGGGTCTTTAAATTATAAGAAAGTAGTCAGTTTTGATCTTCTAAATGCAGCCTTGTTGAGCATAAGAGGCTGCTTACAAAAAACATTAAACAAATATCACCCAACCAAAACATTTGAATCTTAGTGTAAGAAATTTGAACCCGTGTCACCTTTTTTTTTGGTCATGTCTCATCTTGCCTTGGGCAGCAAATGAGCTATGAGTGCTAACTGGTGCATCGTCATAACAATATGTGCATCATGCCTCGGTTTGGTGGTTAATCTGTAGTAGATGGTGGTAGACATTCTGTACACTTGATCTGTGGGCGCAGCAGTTATAGTTCACAATATTACATGGCTAAAGCAGGTTTTAGACCAGTCTACGGCATGTCTCAATCCCCTTCTATTGTCATTCTCCTCTCCTTCCTCTAATGAAGACTGGCTGGCCAAGTGATTCTTTTGCCAATGATATTCTCAGTTAAGCATCCCTCAACTCATAGCACCCTCTCGTTACCCTCGTCACACTGCTGTGAGCCCTACCTCATCTTCTTCTCCACTGTTTTCTTTTGCTTTAAATGCCTGAGATTGTGATCCTATCTCGGCTACTGTACAAGTCTCCACAGGAACACATAAACAATACCAAGCATTTATGTGCTATCTGAGGGAAGAGGAAAAAACAAAATGAGAAATTGTTCTGAGAGTGCCTGGCCCCCCGCTCGATTGGAAATAAGATGACCAGATACATTTCCTAGGTAAAGGTTCTCGGTTTAATTGTCAAAATACAATGGAATAAGACATTTTGGTCCCACTTTATAATAACATTTTAATGAACCCATAGACACTTCAATAGCCTGCTATTAGTCATTGTCTTTTTAAATCTTAAAATTTTCTACATCTAACAAATCCAGGATGGAAATCATTCTATTTGTGTCACGTATGCTACAGCAATCTGAAAGACTACACTTAAGAAATTTAAACCAAATACAAGATTTTGCATAAAAAACTTGGGGATCCTATTTGCGATCTAGCTTCTAACTTCTTTCATCTTTATCAAAACAGTGTACAGTACGTGTTCCGAATTGAGTTCTCTTTTGCATCTTCTTGTGCTTGAATGCTTTAAGGATGTTTTAACACTTGAGTCATTACTATTACCTTAAAAAAAAAAAGGAAAAAAACTTACAATGACTTCAGTCATTGTTAGGTAATTCCAAATAATTTGTAATTCCTTCTGAAGGATTCGGTAATACTTGAATCATTATTAGTGGGTTACCATGATCTTCACTCTAGAATAATTATACATTATGCTTTGATCTCATTAAATATGAGCCACATATAGTAGTTCGCATTTTTTCTTCAAGAGGTTTTAAAAAATAGTACTGGTAATAATAGCTAGCTAATAGTGAACTACCGCTTTCAACTGAGCCCTGTTACTTATTCGTTAATCTGAGTTTCTTGTGAGTTAATAGTAGTAACTGGGGGTGTGTTCACTCTTGGCTCTAATAATGACAGTTGGCTATAATTATCAAAAGGTACAGTAGCTGCAGTATTACAGTATAGATATGAATACTGGTTTCCCACTGGTTTCCAGTCAGTTAAGGCAGGTTTCATTGTTCGGTTACTTTGTGAAGTTGAGTAAATACGCTAATCTCGCTGCTACTCTCACACAGACAGTTATGTAACAGTTATGTTATGTTTTTCAGATAGAGTTAGTGCAATAGAGACTGTCTACTTTTTCAGTGAGTCCCCCCCCCCCCCCCCCATTTATTTTCTCCATAGTGAACCACCACCTAGGCCCAGGTCAAACTTTCATTGAGCTTTGGCCATCTCACTGTTGCACTATTGTTTTTTTTCCTCGACATGCTCCATCTGCTTTGATTGGCATTATAACATGATCCATTATATTGGTGTTTGTGTTTTTCATGGACACTTAGCCAAGGCTAATGTTTCACTGTGAGCTCCAAAATGGAATAATCTCCATGGTGCATTGTCCATACATTTGAGAAAATACATTAAACAATACATAGCCTTGTCTTTTGCCACCGTTAGCCTCGTCAGTCGGAAGCCCACTTCACCCGAGCTGCTGAGGTCAGTGACAATGCAGCCTCGCTTCTGTTGCGAGTTTGTCCTGTGCTTTCAGGTTAGTCTGCGAAAGTCTGCTAATGTAAGTGTGAAACACTGGGGTATTTTTTTGAAAACTGTGTATTTAGTTTAAAATATATTTTTCTGAGTAAAGTTAGATGGTTATGTTGGCCATTTCTAGCTCTATATTGGACACTGCTTTATTTGGGAAAATGGTCCAGTGAAATGTCAGATGTAAAACATGGAGAACTTCAATGATTGATGACCTGAAAATATTTTAATCACGTCTCTCCTTGCTGCCATGCCCAGAAAGGCCACCTGGAACACGTTTTGAATTTCTTCGTTTGTGATCTCGCTAACTCAGCTTGAGCCGTTCCCTCCTGCCATGCTTCCACTGCTGTTTTTCTTACGAAGCTGTTCATTAAAACAGAGAGGTTTGGGAGTTACCTGACACTGTAGGGGTCAAAGGGGTCCGTTGTGTTATAATTTCAAATTGGGGGTGTACTTTTCCCTGTGTAATTGTTCAAATTAATCATCGAATGCATGTCATGACCTGAATGCACATTTCAATATTCATCTTATCCATTCTATTATTATATCCTGTTGGCTTTGTCCGCTTATCGGAAGAGTTTTATGGCGGCACCCAAATCATTCATCTCATTAATCT